CAAATTATTCGATTTCGTTTTTCAACTATTAACAAAATGTTTCATTGGAATAAATTGAATCTTCCGTGAAATCGGAATTGAATTGCAATCATCTTTGAAGACTTTTTATAAATATTTCATGTCATGATTTCAGATTAATATGGGCGAAAGTATTTAATTGGGCACAATTATCCAATTTCTGCCATAGTACTTCTCTTCAAAGCAATACTTTTGAATAGAATAAAATGTCCTCAAAGTATACAAACAGTAAGATGTTATTGCGGGGACACTGTCCTCGTTTATGACGTGGCGTTTTAGTTGCAATCTTCATTTACGTTTCACGATTGTCGCGTTTCAAAAAATAAAATATAGAAAATATCCAGAGTTCCTTACCTTTCTTCCTTTTACGCACGGATATATCAAAATTTTTCGAGTTAATTTCGAATTGTTTTTTTCACGGTCGGAAATAGGAAGATAGGATGTCAAGTAAACCCAACGGTCAATGGGAATCATTTTTTATCTATCCATCAATTATATAATTCTGTATATACCCAATTCTTGACCAGATTAGTGTCTCTCTCGTTTCCCATGAAAATTTTTAAAGAATCCCAAGAACGAACTCTCGAAAATGCGACATATAATTGTCCATCATTGAAAACATTCTTGCGGAGATCTATGCCAATTTTATCAAAAGTTTGCCCTTGACTTTTATTAATCGTCATTGCAAACGCTAGTTTTATTGGAAACTGGCGTCGTTTGAATGTGAACGGAAAGATGTTCTCACAATACAATGTTATACGATTAATGAATACAATATCCCCCGTTTTGTCTCCAGTCAATATCCGACATCGTAGCAGAGTGTTTGAAAGGTCTATGATTTGTAACCTGGTCCCATTACATAAACCTTCGTCAATACTCAAATTTCGAAGTAGCATAACTATCGAATCTTTTCTCAATCGTAATTCATGCGGTGGAAAATTAGGAAGATTGAGCGTATTCAAATATTCTGGTAAAATTACATCATTGATGTCTCCATTGTCACAATTTTCTACACTATCAATACCTGTGTATCTACGCTCAGTAGATTCATCTAGGAGTTCAATTGCTTTGCCATTAATTTCATCGACATCGACATTTCGCGCGGCTAACACCGCGGTTTTTGCCAAGTCTCCGAAACGGCGTTCGTCAATAACTGTTTTGAATATCACTTCTACGATATCATCAGCATTTGAAGCTATACATTGTTCTGGAGGCAATAGATTATTATCATTATCATTTAATTCTCCATTACCTAAAGATAAGAGATATTTTGCGAATTCAATCTCTCCAGGTAAAGTGCGCATATTCTCTGATAATGCAAATATTGTGAAATATTTCCATAAAGGACTGAATTTGATCGATGAATTCACTAACTCACATCTCGTAGCATTTGGAGTAACTGGTAGTAACTGTCGAAAATCTCCTCCTAATAGCATAATTTTTCCACCAAATGGGGAGTCATTATCCATCAGATAACGTAATGTTCGATCAATTAATTCCAATGCAGACCTTGGCGCCATAGGAGCTTCGTCACAGATGAAAATATCAACATTTCTCAAGTATTCAGCGTCCTTCGATTGACTCTTTATATTAGAAACCGAGTCTGGAAATAGCGGGACAGGTATACCAAAAGTTTTGTGTAGCGCTTTTCCATGAGGTAGTAAAATGGCTGCAATTCCTGTGAAAGCCATTGTACAAATTGATTTTCCTTGAGCTTTCAATAAATGATACAATGTTGTGTATACAAATGTCTTCCCTGAGCCACCTGGACCATCAATATAAAAACAGGAAGATGAGCGTTCATCGGTAGACATAGCTACATTCAAAATCTTGTCAACAATCTCTTTTTGTTTCACATTCAACTGATTGTATTGAATTCGACCCATGCTTACGTGTGTTTCCAATGACGACTGATTATCATTGACATCATCAATATCAATATCTGTTTCGCATTCAATCAATTGTGGCATCGTCGCAAATGCACTTATACACGATCTTTCATTCATAAGAAGTGTATCGATGTGTGCGTATGCTCTCTTGTAAGATTCAGCTTCATTATGATTTCGTTGGAAATCTTGAGAAAAAGCATCTTTGAATTTCTCCCATAACTGTTCTGGATGATTTGGATGACAATATATTAAAATACGTACAAATAAATGTCTAAGTTGACGGGGCATCATCCAAATTTCTCCTTCAGTCAGGGCACGATCCCACTCCTGATCATCTTCGATAAGCCCCAATGCTAAACATGTACTTTGAAACGTATCATACAATTGATCATTAACTGTCCTTAAGTTCTCAAAGCTAGTAGCACCTTTAACTGTTATCAGAAGTAAGCGAAGATGAAACAGTTCTGACTGTGTCGGACTCACTGAATACATACGTCCAATCACATTAAAATGTGTTTTACGTTTTGCCCACATAGATCGATTGGAATCTAAAGATTTTTTGAAAACATAGTGTGTTGGAATATCTCCATATGTGTAAATCTTGGCCTCTGGGTCTCGTCGATTTAACGAAAAATACTCAACTAACATACTTGTTCTCTCCAGGGCAGCTCTCAAACCGTCCTCATTGTCAGCGTCATTGATAAGTATGCTTTGTTGATTTGGTAAATGAACTGGCAATCGAATCACTGAATGACTTTTATTTTGCAAAGATCTACCATATATTCGATCACATGCTTCAACTGGAGACACATAACGTGTATCTATAAAATTTCGAATTTCGTCGTGATGAATTTCATTGTGATTTTCAGCATTGCTTACAATGACCGAAGCTGAATCATGGCCCTTGTATATGTATTTATACAAATATTTCACAGATTTTATGCTGGAAACAATTTCTACGTTAATGTGACATCTGAATTTTTTCAAGAAATAAGCATTATAAGGAACAACAAATGCATTATCGGCCATTTGTCCGTTAGAACGCTCATAAGTACCAGTATTCCTCCGACGGTACGTTGGGTATCCATTCTCATCCATCAAAGTGCTGTCTTGGAACTTTTTGGGAAATTTTTTTGTACATTTTCCGTTCTCATCTTTACACCAATTGCCACATGGTCCATGAATCATATCTCTCAAAACGATGTTGTAAAGAATCGGATCTACTTGTCGATTGGGAATTTCAGCAGAAATATATTTATCAACAGCATCAGAAGTAAGGATTTTACTGTTTTGCTTCAAATTTACTAATAGATGCATGTGTGGTAGCCCACGTTTTTGGTATTCGATCACGTATACGTATGCGCATACTTCACCAAACAATTTTTTTTTAAGAACATCATTAATGAGTTCATCTTTCTTTATATCAAAAACACGCGACACTATATCTGGCCTATCAGATGCTGTTTGACAGAGTAGTACATTTTCTTTTATTTCAGTCCAATTGGGATTGCAAGTCATCGTGATGAATAAATCTGGTTTGCCAAACTTTCTTACAATAGCCATTGCGTCTTGATAATTTTGTAACATATTACGTGGTGAACCTGTAAATGTTGATGGAAGGATGACCATTTTTCCTACTTGACTATCAGCATCATTCGCGCGTCGTTGTAAGTGATCTACCAAGCCTTGATATGTATCACTGCGGAGAGTTTTTTGATTTTGTCTGCAAAAGTTCAATCTATCCTTTTCAATTTTCACGTAACTATCGACAACCCACTGTTGATACAAACGTCCTCCTTTTAGGATTACATTATCATCTCTATCAGCCATTCTGTATTTAGTGTATGCCGCTCTTGATACTCTTTTAGATTTATTTACACAACTCATATGGGCATGCCAACCTCTGGTACCATGCGGGTAAAATAGAGGGTAGATCCACGGTTCAACATTAGAATCCATGGCACTAATGAATTGTAGATCTTTCGTCCTTTTATTACGAACTGAAACATAGGATTCGGGGATATTGCCGTCAGCCGATGTAGTAAAAATGGCAGCTACCTCATTGATTTTCTGTACATTATATCGTCTCTGGTCCATTCCCGGTTTGAGGGAAAATATTAATTGCATTTCGGGTTCCTTGTCTGTACTTAGATCTCTCATGGATAGAAGTTCTTCATGCATCATTCGATAAGATTGAGCAAATACGTTGCATTGACGAAGAGAATGATCTATCGCATCAACTATTTCACGATTCAAAGTAGACATTAAGTTACATCGTATGTCGGTAGCTTCATTTGGATCAATAATAAACAGCTGCCCATAGGATGGAGTTTCATTTGAGTCAGGATAAAAACTTTTATTGAATTGATAATAGACTTGACCATGCAGTTTGAAACAAACTGGGCCAGGACGTCGATCAGAAAAATCTACCAAGTTTGCGTTAAATGATGCAAATGCAAATGAATTATTGTCATAATTGTTCAGTGATGCATTTTACTAATCGTTTGTTGCCAAAATGGAAAAGCGTCGCAACGTTCTTCTCGACGTCCAGACCGGAAAGAATGATTTCAGCCACGGCCACGACGCCGGAAGCGCCTTCAGAACGACGGATTCAGTCTTACGCATCTTGGATAATTTCGAGATATTCCGATATATCGAGATATTTTCGACATATCGATGTTTTTTTTAGTTTCTCCTTTTTATATTAGGATATCTCCCAGTCCCCATAATCATCATTATGTATAGTGTGTATATTATGAGGACAGTCCCCGAAGTATCCACTACGTAAAAAAAATTATGAGGACTGTCCTCAAAACAACCACATGTCCCCATATAATACCATACATGACCGAAAATGAACCCAAAGTAACCTTTATATATATATAGATATAACTAGTATTTATAGGCCTTTGCATCATATAACTATGACTTGTTCTTTGCGGAAGCCAATGACAAGCAAATTGTTCTGTTACTTAGAGAAGCTTCAGGAGAGAGTCCTATATTGTGGTATAGATTCCGTTATCTTTGTAGCGAAAAACGGCGAGTGGGAGTCGGAATTTGGTAAATTTCGTAGAGATTTAACCAATGAGTTAGAAGATTATGGTGAGGTCAGCTATGTCAAGTCTTTCATGTTAGGTGCCCGAAATTCTATGAGTACCCATTACAAACTAGTAGTAGCGAGATAAAAGAAGTTTGTAAGGTTAAGGGTATCACATTGAACTTAAATAATAGTCAGTCAGAAAACTGCGACACGTGAAAAGCAGGGTCCAACAGTCTTGTCGGACGATACAATCAGACACACAGAATTCCATCAGGTGGTAACGAGGCAGCAGGTAAAAATAACTTCTATTTGTAATACTGAAAGACAATATAAAAATGTAAATAGGACTCTACATTAAAATAGTACAACTATAACTATTCAGCTGAAGAATTTTATTCATTTTCTAAATTAGTATAACCTTCACAGGACTAAATAGGACGCCTGGAATCGTATTCACACTGTCATCTACGAAAAAAACGTTGAAATATGAAACATTCATGAACTGATTATTCCGCTTATCTTGAGATATAGATATATAGATGCCACCTCAGGGTCAGAAAACTTATAATAATCTATTCCTATTTGGTGGAATTCACGCGTCCGCTTTATCTACGGTAGTCCCGAAAACCTTCAGATCCCGACGTTTTAAATTCCAGGTCATTGTCAAGCATTACCGAAAAGTTGACCTTTCTCTCCGCATTTGATAGGGCTGATGTGTCATTGCAAAGCATTTCTTGGGGTTTTGTTTTTAACTTTCAAGTTGTCTTTTTCCATTATGCGGAGAAGAGCTGTCCCGGTATGGGGATCGCTTTGTCTGATCAGCAACCTGGTAACAGCTGGAAAAAAAAAAATATTAGTAGGTATTACTGTAGAAGAAGTGATAATAGGCGATGCATTACATTTTGTAATCTTGCTGTTACTAACTTCAAATGGATTCCTTGGAGGGAATCATATGAATGGTAATGAGTGGAATATACCTCTTAGATCACCGATAAAATTGCAAGAAATTAGGTTGTCTTTAGCGGTTCGTCGTCTGAAAACTCCCGATAATATAAAAATTTCTATTGGGTGAAAGCAAGGCTAACGTCAAATTTTCCGCTACGGCTTGTATAGTCGGCGCATAGCAAGCCTTTTTGAAAAAACTCCGTTGTAACTCCTACTTTTTTTTAGTCGCGCTGCTTGTCAAGGTAATCTTTGAATATTTCATGTGATAATTGAGAATCATATAACACAGCAGAAATTAATATGACTAGAAGTTTTCTGAAGTGATGAGAAGACTTATGAAAAAAAAATTCAGAAAAATCAGCGATGAATTCCGAACACGGTCATGTTTTATTGAATTTTCATACCGAATCTTTAGAACTATATTCCACCTTGGAAATGGAAATTTTTTTAAGGGGTAGTTGAAGTTTTGGGTGGTGGTGGGGGTCGATGGTATGAGTGGTGGGCGTCGAGTCGGGGTTGCGGGGCGAACCTGAAGAGGGAGGAGGGCTAGGGTCCGAATGAGGTCCTTGAGGGGTCAAGCTGAGGTCTGGGGACTCGCGTTACGTTCGTCGTCGGAAGCCGATGGAGATGGGGAGGTGGTCGAGGGGGTTGTCGATGGGGGTAATGGGGCGCTCTGGGGGTTGCCCTCGTCGTCTCCTGGGGTGGGCTGTCCTCGGGGTTGTTCCTGTGGTTTCCCTGGTGGCTTCTCTTGGGGCTGCTGCGGCGGGGGTGGGTTGTCCTGGGTATGGCGGAGTCTCCACCGATCCCGATTCGCCTCCTGCCTTGCTTGTGCCAGCATTTTCTCCTGTTCCCTCCAGGCCTCTGAAGGGTGGCTTGAGGATGGAGCTTCCTCTTCGAGAGGGAGTGAACATATTCCCCTTCCGTATGGGAACCTTCCACTGGTTGGCATCTGAAAGGGGTCGAAGGTGATAGGGTCTCAGGTCTGTGATCTGTATTTTGGGGATTCTATTGCCTCGTGGGTCTTCTAGGTCGTATAAACTAGGGGAAATTATGTTTACAGTGTGATAGGGGCCTTCATACTTTGGGGCTAATTTCGCAGCAAAATGCTGAGCTGCTTGGAATAGGGGTCGGTGCCTTCTCAACACTAATTCGCCTACCCGGAAAATCTCATCTCGTCGACCTGCGTCATAGTGCTCCGCTTGCTTCGCGAAAGCCTCACCCATGTACTTTCTCGCTAGATCGTAGAAGTAATTCATGTACTCAAGTCACACGTTCCAGCGGCCAGAGGGAGAGGGGTCAGGGAGTTTGTGGGCGCCATTTGGTGATTTGCTCAAGGGACTAGGAGGTGGGGGAATGCGACCCATATTTAAGAATGCGGTTGAAACGCCAAAGGAGTAGTTACGGACACTAGGTCACTAGGCAGGTCAAAATATCGGGTAAAAGGTGAATCCTTCTGACGAGTTGGCCGTAACTTGTCACGACAGGTAGTGTCCGGAGGAGAAAGGATCTTATGAATCTCACTTAGTGGGGACCAATTATTGCGTGGGACTAAGCACTGAAGTACACAATGGTTGTAATATGAGGAATTAGCACACAAAGAGAAAGATGCCCTTAAATTTCCCTTAAAACAGAATTTAAATGTATTACACTTCACTTGGTATACAGAATAGAAGAAAGTCCAAGATAAAAACCAGATGTAGGTGGTAGGAAAAGAGTGTCGGAGGGAGTAGTGTAAATGTTGTTGGTGTGTTTTCTGACTTACGGTTGTTGAAATTAAACGGCAAGAGGGAACGGGTGGCTTCTTCGTGTTTCCCCTTCGCAGCGGATTACGGAGAGACTCCAAAAGTATGCTAGATCCTCTAGCACTGATGGAGTTGAAAGCTGCCCAAACACGCTTCTCTGGTGTTGGTGATGATGATGATACGGCCCCGGAGGCGTTGGGGGGTGTCTGTGGGCCTGGGTTGTTCACTCAGACAGAACTTGGTTGTCCCCTAGCTTTAATGTTGCTAGGCGTGGAGAAATCCTCGAGCTGGACACTCGGGGTAGACCCAGCTGTACGCTGCGTAATTCACCAGGTCGATGCTGGCTTGACGAGAGGATTCCCTGAGTTGTACACTCAGGATGAGCTCAGTTGTACGCTGATCAAATTTACCAGGTCGGTGCTGGTTTGCAAAATATATCCGTGGCTGAACGCTCGGGATGAACTCAGTGGTGCGCTGAGTGATTTACCAGGTCGGTGCTGGCTTGCAGAAATGCGATCGATCTGACGCAATGTAGAAAATCGAGCTGTCTACTCGATACAAATGAGAGTGGGCGATGCTGCGGAGCTGCTTCCCAACAGACGGATCTTGAAGGGTCAGCTTGTTGATGAGCAGGGCCCTCGTAGAAAATCAAGAATTTGTAAGGGGACCGGCTGGCTTGCCTCCCTTAAAGCAGGGCCCGGCAACCTTCAGGTAGTCGGGAGCCAGCCTATTACTAGGGTCGGGATAATCCTCTCATCCTAATGGGTACCCAATTAGCCAACCATTGTGAGCGAATAAGTACCAACAGTGACGATATTGTAGCCAGCCATGTAGAGTGGCGTGCCAGTCGCATAAAAATGGCTGACCCGCCAGAATTGGCGCAAATTTTCAGTTTTAAATTTTAAATAGAAAATAGAAAAATTAAAATTTACAATGAAAAACCCTCAAGAATATATTTAGGAATTGGTTTTCGGTAATTATTATTTTCCTACCAAATAGTGCCACTCTAAATGTGAAAAATAAAAATTTGCCACGGTTGTTTTTGGAAGATTCTATTATATATTATACTATATTCCTGATTGTTTTTTTCATCCCAATTTCAA